AAAAAAAAAAGCTGGAACAACAGTTGAACTATAAAGGGAATCTCAGGATCTGTCGATCGGCTTTTCAATTGCATCTGTCGCTTCATAAGCTTAACAAAACTCGACATATAAACATTTGTCTTCTTTCAGTACAAAAGGTAATTGTTTTTCAATCAGATTTTTAGTCCTGATAAAAAAGTAAGCTCGGCTCTATAAATGGAAAAAATATATGCTACCCACTTTTAAATTAGGTAGCAAAGTTATGTTTTTACTGGTTGACAGATCAGGACTTATAAAATAATTTGAAGATTTTTTCTAAAAGTTGCTGAAAATATTACTGTAGAAGATTATTTTTTTGATTCAAAGTATAAGCAAGAATTTGAAAAAATGCTTGTTAAATTTACAAAAAGAAAGGGATTTTTGGCACTGGATAATAATAGTAATTTGTATTTTTTGAAAAACAAGGAAAATTTCGAGAAGCCTAAGAAACAATGTTTGGTTGTGTTTAAGATAGTCTCCAAAAGATATTTCTGTTGAAATCCTTCTACTGAATTGGAGTTATATGATTTTAAAAAGGTGCTTAATTCAAGGCGTGACATGTTTTCGAACATTTTTTAAATTTTAAATTTGCAGGTTTTTAAAACACTGAACTATTAAGGCTGCTATAGCATTAGAAAATTTGTGCTAATGTTTAAACTCATGTTTTTATAACTTTCAGTAAAAGTTAAATTATAATTTATCAATAGATTTTTCAAAAGCCAGCTTATTAATATACAAATCAGTAAAATAAAGTAAAAAATTAGATTACCTTAAAATATATAAAGACACAGTTGAAGGGTTTTATCAAAGCTTCTTGAACCCATTGATTCACCGCACAGGCGTTAGTGCCTAAAACTTGCATTTGAACTGTTTCTAGGAAAAAGTACCACACAGTTTACTGATAAAATCAAAATTTTATATTAAAAAATCCAAATTAGTGGCGATGGCTAAATAAGTCGTTAACTGTGTACATAGCACCTTATCATAAGCCTAGTTTTTTTTTTTATTTCTTTTCCCTTAAAAGTTTATTAAACTTGCCTTCATTTTTTGGTTTATTTCTGCAAGTTTGATCAGTAAACAGCAGTTGTGTCTTTTTTTTCCTAAACCTCATTCGCGTCCAGTCGTATGCATTAAAGTAATAATACGGTGTGATCCATACATCTTTCTGTTCATCAGCAACGTATATAATCAACTGTGACTGTAAATGAGACATGATAAGATGTAGAAATTTTGAATGACAATCTATTTCTAAATATAACTATCAAAAAATTTCTCCTAGAAAGAGTAAATTAGAAGAGTTTATGTTATTCTTAAAAAAAAAAAAACAAAAAGCTAACTTTAGATTACATAAATCGTGTCTGCTTACTTGATACTTTCTTAGTGACAATGAGCTTGGAACTTTACGTAGCCATACTGTCAATTTTGCAGTTTCATCTACATCTTCCTGATACAGTGTTTTAAGTCGTAAGCAACGGCTACGAAGCATCACGTATGTAAATTCAAATAATTCACAGCAATTTAGGTCACGTGAGTACTGTTGACAAGACAAAAAAATCTCAAAAAAATTGCAGTATTGAAACAATCTCGTTAAAAAAAGTTAGTATTTTGTAAGTCAAGAACAAAAAAAAATTTTATTTTTGAGTGGTATTCTCGCATTTGAAAAAAAAATTAAAATTATGTAACATGACTATAAAAATTAAATAAAACTATAAGTGCAAAAACGAATACTGACCTCCTCGCAAGTGTAGCCAAAGTGCTCAAAAATCAAAAGAAACATTTCTTTGTCGGTTCGAGAGCCTTTCCATTCTTTATACAGATATGTAAGATTTGCTATTGTCTCATTAGACCAACGCTGAAGGTCTAAAACTTTTATTAAGCATTAATATTGTGGTTGAACTCTATTCAGCGACAAAGCATTTTTTCTTTACTGTTGTATACGTTCAGTGCTTCTAAAAGGTGCTTTGATGACCGAATTCGCAGATTAACACAAACACTTGTGCCAACGAACTTTGTAACTGAAAAATTCAATTAGTATACTTTCTTATGCAGAGTTTTATCAAATCATTGCTTAAAAGAAATTGATAATTTCTGAAGGTTGATTAAAATGTCATTTCTTTATGAGAAGTTTGAATACGCAGAAGAAAGTAAGCAATAATGGCAAATATTTTTTGTCACCCTTCTCAAAGTTTGCAAAACCAAAGCCGGCAATAGCAAATCTAAGCAAATTTTGTGCAGTATCGGTATCGGCTTCTGGTAGAGCCTGTTGAACATCTTTGATTAAACTTTTCAAATGCACTGCATCTGCTTTTCTCGGACAAATTACTAAGGTCGGGAACTGAAGACGTTTTACCTTAAATGATTATTTATTTAGTCTAAAATTGATTACGTCTGTTTTGTTTTCAATAACAAAGTTTTTTCTGTTTATGTTTGCTAACTTAACTAATCTTTATTAAGCAAACGGTAGAATAATATTTGTACAATAAGTCAGTTTTTCAACGGCAAATCAATTATTGTTTTTTATCTGTATTAACTAATAATGGCTTAGCAATTAATAATATTATTCATAAAAAAAGCTATAAATAAAAACAAAAAAAGATTTCAAAAGAGTTTGAAGTTAGTATTATTAATGCTAAACTTTTAGAAAAGTGGCACTAACCGAACGTATAAGCGTCAAAGATGTAGTCGCATTGTTCACATAGTCGTTGAACATCGATATAGTGTTGAAAAGAGCGAATATAAAACAAATGGTAAGTATTGTAAACCAGAACACCTTTTTTTTGCTTGATTTGCTCTGAAAATAACTAGAAAGCATATTTTTGTATTTTAGATTCCTCTTTTTTATTTTAAAAGTCTTCAAAAAAGTCGAACTTTCTTTCCTTAACAAATATATTTAACGCGAACAAATGATGAACAATAAACATAGTTCAAAGCTACGATGCAAATGACGATTAAAAAAAAAGTAACCAAGCTTTATACATTACTGTACTGTGTTAGTCCATGTAACTCCTTCGTCCAATAACAATCATTCTGACAACGTTTAGTTTCCAAGTTGGAACTGTAGCGCCTTGAGTCGATCACTGAACTTACAGCAGGACCACTGTCAAAATTATAAAGTCGAGGAACACTCATTTCACAGAATCGAATTGTTCACCGGCAGTCGACAGTATTCCAATCATTCAGTAAGCAAATGTTCATTCTTTCAAATGTCTTCTTAAAAAATAACAATAAACGTATCAGAAAAGCAAAAAATTACATTTCTAGTAAAAGCAAAATTATTTTTAATCCATAGGCAAAAAGAATCATCTATAATTTATTAAGTACACAGCTTTAGGAATCTGAGCGCAGTAAAAGCATTAATATTGAAGCTTTCCTGCGCATAAGGTTAACACAGACATTCCTACCTCTTGTTTACTTTGCAAGTTTTTAGTCTTATTTCGCCAATTCTTTTTACACTTGAGCGCAGCATAATTAAACGATATTCAAACAGTATTAATACACTCATTCTGCATCACACTTTTTCCTTTGTAAGAACCAAACCATTTCTTAAAAAGGTACATTTGTGGTAGCACATTTAAAATGAAAAAATCATAGGCAGTAAAATACATAGAACAGCAACGCAAATATTAAGCAAAGAGAAAAATTTTAGAAGTACCAAAAGACAGTAACAAATGACAGCAATTTTGGTTCATTTTGCAGTCAGAAAACGCTAAATCTAATGAACCTTTCTCGCAACAATTTAATACTATCTTTATCAGTTTAAACTGCTTCTTATTTTATTCTTCAGTGAACTCTATTACTTTTCTCTTCAAAGAAATTACGTATGCGTCTTTTTTCATGCCAAAATGTTATAAAATTACTTCTTTTTCCCAACCTTTTCTCTACAAGCTTATTAATGTTATTACACTTTCGGCTGTAGGAAAACAGTAACCTGCTTATTAGATCTTCTCTTTTCCCTCGGTTATATTATGATTTTGCAATTCTTATTAGAACAACTGGTGATTCTTATTAGAAAACAAAACTTCTTTTAGTCTTTTATGACTTCTCATCACGATTCTTTACAGTTTTCGTTACTTTCCGGTTTTTGGGTTTTTGGGTTTTTGGGTTCTTCAGGTTCTTTTAAATATCTATTTGAAATTTTGCTCCTGCAACATCAACGTCATTATTTATATTTATATTTATATTTATATTTATATTTATA